TCTATCTATCTATCTATCTATCTATCTATCTATCTATCTATCTATCTGACTAATTTGTGCTTCCTTTACCTAGAACTCTCAGAACTCTCTCTCCACTCTCAACTCCAATTGTCCTAGTTCCCTCAGAGAACACTCCTGTTCTAGTTGTAGGCCATTTATATTCTCTAAAACTCCCTGTTTCCTTGTTACATCTCTCGGCCTCACTCTGTGATGGCCATTCTTGATTGTTAACTTGACTACATCTGCAATTAATTAAATGACAGCAGCTGGATACACCCATGAGGGATTTTTTTTTTCCTTAACTATTTTAAGTGGGAAGATCCACCTTTAATCTGGGCCACACTCTGCTGGTAGCCTATATAAACGACACAGAAGGAAGCTTGTTCTCTTTACCTGCTTGCTCTCACTCTCACTGGCAAGTCCACTCCTTCATTGGCATTAGAGCTTACTTCTTTGGGATTCTGAAAGCAGCTGAGACATCAGCCTCATGGACTGAATACTGGATTCTAGGAGGCATTATGGTAGACAGCCATTGTTGGACTAGCTGGACCAAATCATGTAACCCCCTCTAATAAATGCCCTTTCTATATATGGATATAGATGCATTCTGTAAGTTCTGTTCCTCTAGAAAACCCAAATATATTCCCCAAATCTAAAGTCTTATTATTAAAATAATAAAAACATACCCAACTCTGCATTTCCCAACTACTTTTTCCTTTTGCTCTTTTGTCCAAGCTTTTCTTTCTCATTCTTCCTTGGTCTACAAAGTTTGCTTTATCAAAGGGACAACATTTTCCAAATTGCTAAATGAAGGAGGCTTCAGTCTCATTACAAGTTCACAGGAGCAGATACTTTAATACTATTTTAACTACGCTTCTCTGACAACAGTCTCCCATGAATCTCATCTTACCGTCCTGCACAACTGGATCTGAGCTCATCTTCTCTCACTCTTAGGATAAACATTTTTTATTCCTCCAATTTAAATTTCCTTTTGCGTAATTTCAATGACTTCTGCAACATCAACAATCACCTACACATATGACTTGAAAGCCTGTGATTCAGTCACACTTTCCAAAGTGTTCCAGCTCTTTATAAACCCAGCTAGAAGACATTTCTCTTAGATATCCCACAGGAAAGTTCAAGACACAGACGCTCAACTGCATTCATTATTTATTCTCCCCACACCACTCTCTCTTAAATAAGACCGGAGCACTTAGAAGACAAGGAGACTTGGGAAGACCTAGCATGATCCTCTACTCTCATGCCTCACAATGTATGCAGACCTTCTCAAATACCCTTTTCCTCCAAGTTTCTGACTGCCTGCAGGACGAATCTGGAGTTTCTCAGCACAGTAACAGCAAGGCGAGCCAACGGCTTCCAACCTGTATCCACAAGTGTTCTTACATCCTATGTTAGATCACTCACTAAACATTACAAACTGCCTTTCAGGCAATCATCTTCTCTTCTTTTCAGATTTTAATATTTTCTTCACAAAGCTCTGGTAATTTCTGGATGAAATTGGTCTTTTCAGCCTTTGTGCCTCCCATAAAACCCTGTGCAGATAAGTTACAGCGGATACCTCACTTGAGTACATTTACCTTACCTGATCTGGATTCAAATAGCAATTCGGCTAATAGAATCTAATAGAATCTGGGCAAAAAACTGTTTAAAACAAAAACAAAAAAGCTTTGCGCTTATATCGAAAGAAGCAGAAACGATGTGTCAATAAAAACAGATGTATCCCTGCTACAGAAGTGCTTGAAAAAAAAAATGAAATTGTTACTACAGTTCTGTAACTCTTATTCAAACCGACACTTAAAAAATGTCTCGAAAGAATAACTCTAGGACGCTAAACAGACGATATTTTTGGTAACACTTAGAATCGACTCATATAGTTGGGGTGGGGGCAGGAAGGGGAATTTGAGGGGGCAAGAGTCTACAAGGAGGTACAAAAACTGGGAACACGATTCTCTGGTACACTCTAACCTCCGATCAACACCCATTACCAATCAGCTCATCTGCCCACTCGGAAAATGTACACACTTTCAAAATCTGCCAATCCGCTGTAACTGTTGCCTCCTGAGTTTTGTGAAGTGCACAAGTACCATGGGGATCGCAACGTCCAGCTATACTAGAAAGCTGTCCCCTTAGTATACCCACTGACCGCATCCGACGCCTTCCAAAACCACTGGCGGGTGGACTAAAAATAAATAAATAAATAGATCAGGCGACAAGTCTACTGTAGCCAACACGGCCAGTCTCCAAGGCCTAGGTAGGGGAAGGCTGGCAGGAGTTCCCCACCGCCGGGTACACCCCACGGCCTTGGGCCTGCAGGCCACTTGCTCCCGCCCAGGCTCGGCCTGCAGCCACTCACAGGAAGTTCTCCATGGCGATGCGGACGATTGAGCCCTCCACGAAGGGCTCGGAAGGCCGTGGCAGCGTCGACGTCGGGTTCGAGTTCTTTCTCTTGCTCGGGACCTCGGAGGACGCATCCCTCGGGAGAGCCCTCTTGGAAGCCTGGGGGTTCGGGATGGCAGCCTTCCCGCTTGGAGTCGCCATCCCAGCTTCCTCGCAGTCCCGCAGCGGCTTCCGTTCCCGACCAGCTGTAGCCCAGGAGCCACCGCGCCGAGCTCCCGCGCTAACTGACCCCCGCCTGACCCCGCCCCGCGGCCGCACGGCGCCTGCGCAGTTCTCCCCGGCCAAGCCGAGGCTCCGCCCCTCCTCGCCTACAGCTGACCGTGGCCTAGGAGGCCCAAGATCCTTATCCGAGAGTTGCGACTGGAAGACGCTATGTGTGACTCGAGGACCAATTTCCGTACGTTTCAGGATTTTCTTCAGAGCAATATATGAATTGCACTTACTATTTTTAAACCTGCCCCTTCGCTTCCCGTGCTTGGGCCATATGCGAGTTTGCGACTGTTCCTCCCTGGAACCCAGGGCCAAACCTGTCTCTGGTTCTACATTGCGGTTTCTTTCCCTGGTGCTCAAATCAATTCCCCTTCTCCAAAAGATCCCGTTGGCCCTGTGCTTGTTGTTTAAAGCATGGCACTTAGTAGCCCTCTGGAGATCTCAAATTTGGGAAGATTGCACTTAATGGTTACCTGGCCACTCACACTTCCACACACACACACACACACACACACACACACACACCCTTCCCCCCAACTTTTTTTTTTTTTTTTTTTTAGACGCACTCTCTATATAACTCTGGATGGCCTACCACTCACTATACGGTCTAGGCTGGTCTTGAGCAGGTATTGCTTCTTCTTCCTTAATGCTGGGTTTCCAGTGCAGGCCACCAGTTGGCCTCTTCCTGTGGGGTTCCTTAATTCCTTAATCCCCTGCTTAAACTCCCTAGTGGTTTCTAGAAATCCTTGAACCAGAATAAGCAAGATAGAGTGGCTCTACCACACTGTGCTCATAATCATCTCCTGAGCCCTTTCAAAGATGATGGCAAGGTCCATAAACACCATTCACCCAACCAAAAGGCCAGACAGAGAATAGGGTAATGGGGAGTTCAGGTGGTGGGGAAACCACTGGATGATTTTAAGTAGGAGAGGGCTGTGATCTAGGTAAAGTTTTTCAAAGTCATTCCATGCTGTATGGAAAATTGATTGAAGGGTGTCAAATAGAGAAGTGGGAAGGCCATTTAGAAATTTGTTGCTGTAGAGTCCTTTCTTGACTGCTAGACTAAAAAAACAAAACAGAACAACAACAAAAACCTCCTTTTTGCAGGCCCCTGCTTCTTTCTCTTATACAAATGGAATCTGCTCACTAAAAGTTATAGCCAAAGAAAATATAAGTGTTGTAGAAAGTGTGTATACTTCTCATGGGTATAGATTTGTGTGGGTGGGTGGGTGGGTGGGTGGGTGTAGATTAAGGAACAATTTGTAAAATGTTCAAGTGACAGGAAGAAATGAAAAGACCCACTACTCAGGACACCATGTTGTTTGTTCTTCCACACATAGCTGGTATATGCTTGTTGAAAGGTGGCTTCATGAGCTTAAAGGTTGCCACGCATGGTGGCATGTGCCTGCTGTAAGTACTCAGGGTACTTGGCCTGGAGGATCACAAATTCTATCCAGGAGAAGGAGGAGGAGTGGAAGGGGAAGGAAGAAGAGAGTCAAATCTGAAGAAATAATTACTTATGAGGGAATCTACTCTGTGGATATAGAAGATAGGCAGCAAGGGTGGGAGTTAAGACCAGCTTTACCTTTTCATGCCAGGATCAGACTTTTAGAGTGCTATTAAAATTATGTCTCTAAACTTGAAAGGTGAAAATAAATCCCCAAACTTGGATGAATCCAGAAATACAACTGCACCATGGATTTTAACCAACTAGTCATGATTGACACTGTATATGAGGATGCAGTTAAGAAACCACCGAAATGACCAGTCTGTGGTGGGAAGGGAAAAGTTATTCCCTTTTAGACCCTGCCAAGACTGTCTCTCCAGGAAAGCAGAGAGAAGAGAGGGTAGGGGAGACTCTTGAGGATTTTAAAGGGAATGGGTAGGAGGTATGTTACAGGATATTTGATCCCATTGTAAACCCTGAGATTGTGAACTAGAAAAAAATTTTTTTTTAATTGTGGTATGGTTCAGCCTTTGATCCTAGAGCTTTCTGTTTACTGTAAACAAATACTTGTGGTGTGACTCATCCCTAGCACACACCTTTAATGGAAGAGCTAAATAAAGTCAACCATAGGTCAAGAGGTGGAGCACAGGAGACAACTTCCTAAACAGTACACCAACATCTCAGGCACTAAGATCAACAATTAGTAAAAGGTACCTCATGAAACTGAAAAGCTTCTGTAAGGCAAAGGGAATCATCAAAAGGACAAAACAGCAGCCTAAAGAATGGAAAAAGATCTTCACCTACTCTACATACAACTGAAGGTTGATATTCAAAATATATAAAGAACTCAAAAACCTAGACATCAACAAACCAAATAACCCAATTAAAAAATAGGGTATGGATCTAAATAGGGAATTCTCAATAGAGGAATCTCTAATGGCTTAGAATCACTTAAGGAAATATTCAACACCTTTAATCACCAGGGAAATGCAAATCAAAGTAAATATGAGATTCCACCTTTCACCCCTCAGAATGGCTAAGATCAAGAGCTCAAGTGACAACACATGCTGGAGAGGATGTGGAACAAGGGGAGCACTCCATTGCTGGTGGGAGTGCAAACTTGTACAATCACTTTGGAAATAAATTTGGCAGTTTCTCAGAAAATTGGGAATAGGTCTACTGCCAAGACCCAGATATACCACTCCTAGACATATACCTAAATATGCTTCACTATACCATAAAACAACTTGTTCAACTCTATTCATAGCAGCTTTATTCGTAATTGCCAGAAACTGGAAACAACCTAGATGTCCTTCAACTGAAGAATAGATATGCTACAATTACACGGTTCAAAAAAATTACTCAGCTATTAAAAACAATGACATCATGAAATTCCTAAGAAAATGGATGGAACTAGAGAAGATCATCCTGACTGAGGTTATCTGGACCCAGAAGGATAAACATGGTATGTCCTCACTTAGAAGTGGATAATAGCCATAAAGTACAGGATAACCATGCGACAAGTCATTCATCCAAAGAAGCTAAGTAGCAAGTAAGGCCCAAGAGGGAACACTTAAATCTCACAGAGACAGGGAAATAGAATAGACATTAGGTGTGGAGAGAGGGAGGGAACTGGGTAGGGGAGTGGGTGGTGAGGGGAGCATGGGGGATTAAGTGGAGGGAGGATGGAGGAAGAGAGAACTAGAATCAGTCTGGGGGGACATCTCTGGGATGAGCTAGAAACGTAGGACAATGGAACCTCCCAGGAATCTATGAGGGTGACTATAGCTAGCAGTGGGGGATATGGAGCCTGAAACAGCCATATTCTAGAACCAGAAAAAGACTTTCAGTAGAGGGACTGGGACACCAACCCAGCCACAAAACCTTAGAGCTACAATTTGTCCTGCCAACAAGCTATGCAAGAGTAAAGATGAAGCAGAAACTGAGGGAATGACCATCCAATGACTGGCCCAGCTTGTGATCCATGTCATGAGAGACAGCCTACCCCTGATACTATTAATGATATTCTGCTATACTTCCAGACAGACAGCTAGCATAACTGTGATCTGAGAGGCTTCACATAGCAGCAACTGATGGAAACAGATCCAGAGATCTGCAGGCAGACATTAGGGAGAGCTTGGGGAATTCTATGAAAGAGGAGAACAAAGGATTAAAGAAGCCTGAGAGGTCAAGGACATCACAAGAAAACATACAGAACCAACTAACCAGGATAATTAGGAGACCACAGAGAGTGAACCACCAGAGAGCATACATGCAGTAAAACTAGGCCCCCAGTGTATATGAAACAGTGGTGCATGAGGACTCCTAACAGCAGAAGTAGGAGCTTTTGCCCACCTTTGGGTCCCTTTTTACTACCTGGGATGTTTTGCCTAGCTACAGTAGAAGATGTGCTTATTCCTACTATACCTTGATATGCCAAGATGGGTTCATAGCCATGGGAGGCCTTCTTTTTTTCTGAGCCTCCACTGAGGAGAAAGTGAGGACAGGAGAATGGCAGGGATGTGAGGTGAGAGAGAGGGACAGGAGAAGAGGAGGGAGGGGAAACTGTGCTTGAGATGTAAAATTAATTAATTAATAACAAATACAAGTTTTATTTAATAATAGTGGATGACTTTTATATGATACCCTAGTCAAAAAGTAGATCGCCCAGACTAAAAATCAATTAAGAAACTGTAGGGTTGAGCTGCACCATAGATCAAATGGATGTAATATCTACAGGACATTAAAGCTACAGAATGCAAATTCTTTTTAGCAGCCCTTGAGGTTACTCTAAAATAGATTACAATACAAAGTAAATATTAAAAATACAAATGAATACAAACAATTTCTCGTATCTTACCATATCACAGTTGAAAACATTAGCAAGAGAAACCAAACAAATACCTAGAGACTGAACAATTTACCCCTGAATGACCAGTGGGTTATTGAAAAAAAATCATGTATGAAATAAAAATTTTCTAATTTAAATGACAAATAAACCTTCAGAATATAGCAAAAGCAGATCAAAAGGAAAGTTCATAGCTATGAAAGGTTACATTAAAATGTGCTTTAAATAAAAAAATAACCTTGCGATCTTGGAAAAACAATAAACCAAAACAACTCCAAAGCAATAGGCAGCAATAAATAGTTCAGAATGGCAGAAATGAACAAAAGAGTGGAAGATAAAAAGCACACACTAAAATATGACAGTCAACACAGAATTTATTTTTGGACAAGATTAACAAGATTAAAAGATCCTCCCAACAAAAGAAAGGGGTTGTGATATTTTGAATAATAAATGTCCCCAATAGTGTTAGGCATTTGAACATATCCCTAGTTGGTAGCTCTATTTGGGTAGGCTTCGAAAGTGTGGCCTGGATCAAGTTTGTCACTGGGGGCAATCTTTGAAAGTTTAAAGACTAAAGCTGTTTCTAGTTTGCTTTCCATGTTTTGTGTTTGCTGTTCAATATGCAAGACTCCAGCCATCATGCCTGCTGCCTGCTGCTTCTTCTCTGCCATCATGATCCTTAATCTTTTGGAAC